GAGTTTTTGTAAATAATGATCTCTTATTTTTGTTCTATAATTTCAGAGTTGCCTTCTTAAATGTAGTTAACAGACTTATTTTTTCTGTAAATTGCATAAAAATGTTTTAAAAATACCATTCACTTAATAGCAGTGATTCATATTTCAACCACAGAAATTAGATACCGGTATTTTATTTTTAATGTAATACAGTTATTGCTATTATTGGTCGCACCACATAATGAGTGGTCGCTCCAAATGACACAAAGACGTTATATCAAATATCTATTTAAAGAGACGTGTGAAAAGTGCAGCACGTGGCATTAACTGCAGGCATTTCTTTAGCCCCAGTTATTTCTGTACGTCATTTTTGTCCAACAAACAAACCAGACAAGAGAGTAGATTAACGTCGGTGGACTTGAACTTGAAAAATGGTGTATATTGGCATCTTTTCACGGTTGAAACAAGATACCTTCTGATGTTCATTCATGTTTATTTCATGCTATGAATAGTAAAGATGAAGAGATGATAAGTTCATATGCCGCTTGAACTGAGGCGCTACAGCGATCTGTCATGACACGTTAAAGAGCCACAAAACAGTATTTGTTGTTTGAATTTCTTTTAAAAAAATGACAAAATTGAAGACTGAGACTTTGTTTCATACTAAAAGTAACCAGCTCTGTCTTGTCTGTCAGCTCATTGTCAGTGTCCTCTTTGCTCTGTGATTGGCAGTGTTTTGTTTTCTCTCTCGCGCTCTCTCTTCTCTCTACTCCATGCAACGCTTAATGAAGATCAGCTGGTCCTAATTGTCATCAACTACTGACTTGCTCTGATTGGCTGCTGGAGGGAGAGTGTGTGGATAAAGCTGGAAACTCTGTGTGAAAGCGGTGCCCTTCTTGGCCTCTGGAGATTGTTTTCGCCTGCCCCAGACAATAGCATGTGTGCTAGTTGTTGCCTGTTTGCATAGTTGTTGGTGTATAACTTTGAAGCTTTGGAGAGATGTTGTTACTTTGTTTTGTGCAAGTGAACTCACAACGTGAGATTTAAGCCAAAGGTTTATAATTACTTTTGGAGCAGTAGGGAGGAGGATGCCGTTTCTTTTAATGTCCATGTTTTCTCCAGTTTTTGGCTAGAAAAAGAGTCAGGTAAGACTTTTGTTGTTTATTTTGAATTGTGTTTTGAGAGATTAGAAAGTACCCCTTTTGTAAATTAGACCTGTTATGTTTGTTGTTTTGGCCTTGTCCCCTCCCGAAGCTTTATTTGCTCCGTGCTTAGTACTTTTTTTTAACTTGTTAAATAAACCAATTTTCTAGACCGTTACGAAAGTCTGTGTGATTTTCTGTGGAGTGCTGGGACAGGAGAGAAGACCTCCAGGTTGCCGATTGAAAAGTTGTTTATTTTCTTCTGGCTTTGTTCATAAATTTCCTTGTTTCGGCCATCCCTGACCCTAGACAGGGGAGGCATGTAACGCTTGGCAGTGGAATCTGGCAGAATAGATTTAAATAGTTATTAATAAATAATAAATGCATAATTATCAAAATAAAATTACATGCTCTGAATTATTATTTTTTTTTGCATTTCTTCTCATAGTAAAAAGATTAAACATAAACCGTCTGAAATGACCCAAATTGCATAAAAATCTATTCCAAATTATACTAAAATAAGATATTTTATGTATATAAACCATCAATTGAATATAAAAGCACAAAAACTGCCAATCTGGGACATATATCTATAATGGAATACACTCTGCAGTGGTCGCACCACAAGATATTTGGTCGCACCACATGATATTTTCAAATTCATTCAAAATTTACAAGCACAGAATTGGCCACCTAGACAAAACAAGCTAGCTTCCCACAAAAGGTCACTATGAAATTTATAATGAAAATAAATACTTGCAGAAATAACTTAATATTCATTGTTTTTTGAGGTCATACCACATGATATCCAAATGTGGTAACTACATACCAGCCGTTAAAAAGGTTATTTTTTTCCAAATTTAAAAGAGACTTCTAAACCTGCTTGATGCTTCCATGGGTCCTTAGCAAATTGGTATATGATGCAAAGTCCTATCTTTGAATGGATTTCAACATAAAAGTCCCAAAATGGTAGTTTCTTGATGGTTGCACCACATGATATTTCATAAAATGGAAATCATCAGAGTAAATAATAAATTACTAAGGAATGCATAATTATCAAACTAAAATTACATGCTCTGAATTATTACTATTTATTTGTTTTGCATTTTTTCTCATATTGTACAAAGATTAAACATAAACCGTCTGAAATGACCCAAATTGCATAAAAATCTATTCCAAATTATACTAAAATAAGATATTTTATGTATATAAACCATCAATTGAATATAAAAGCACAAAAACTGCCAATCTGGGACATATATCTATAATGGAATATACTCTGCAGTGGTCGCACCACAAGATATTTGGTCGCACCACATGATATTTTCAAATTCATTCAAAATTTACAAGCACAGAATTGGCCACCTAGACAAAACAAGCTAGCTTCCCACAAAAGGTCACTATGAAATTTATAATGAAAATAAATACTTGCAGAAATAACTTAATATTCATTGTTTTTTGAGGTCATACCACATGATATCCAAATGTGGTAACTACATACCAGCCGTTAAAAAGGTTATTTGGATTTCAACATAAAAGTCCCAAAATGGTAGTTTCTTGATGGTCATGATACTGTGTTATTCTGTACAGAATAACATGATATTTCATAAAACGGACATCATCGGACAAAGTTTGTTTTTATATTATGATGGAAATATAAATACAAATGCTTTGCAATTTTACACAGGATTACAAAACACTTTGGAAATCATG